TGCGCACCTGAAAGAATAAAATATCTGTTGTAAAAAAGTAGTTTTCAAGCAGTTTAATAGTTCATGCGCACCTGAAAGAATAAAATATCTGTTGTAAAAAAAGTAGTTTTCAAGCAGTTTAATAGTTCATGCGGTACTTTTTTTACGACAGATATTTTATTCTTTCAGGTGGCATGAACTATTAAACTGATTGAAAACGCACCTGAAAGAATAAAATATCTGTTGTAAAAAAGTAGTTTTCAATCAGTTTAATAGTTCATGGTAAATAACAACAACTTCATGAAAAAACAAGTACAACTCCCACTGATTTTATACTTAGTGTTGGGACCCCCCCAACTTGATTGACCTTTACCTTTGAACCATGACCTTCAAGAGTTAATCGGGTCCAGAACTTTGTATGTAGCACCTTTTGTTTAATTTTGGTCAAAATCCATTAATCTATCCAATCTTGATATCTTAATCCACAAAATCAGGATGGACAAAATCAAATCACTATACTCCACTCTGTTTTACAGTAGGGGTGTAAAACAATGTATTAAACTGTGACTTGAATCTCTTTAAGAAAAGTAAAGTATAACGAAATTGTTTTGGGTCTTCTTCAGTTACTGTGAAATTTCCTAGATAAGTGAGAAAGTTTATTTAAATTTTAACATACGGTTAAGTTTTCTATGGTAAAATCATTCGATACCTTTGTTGTTGTTGTTTTTTACCTTTATTTGTGAGACATAAAACAAGAAATACACATTTATTTTCCGTGTCCATCAAAAACTTTATATTTGTTTGTGAAATTCATTTCTACAATATTAGCGAAATATTTATCATACAGTTTGTATTATGGAACAAAAAGCATACATTTGGTGGAATGCTGAGGCGCTCTCCATTTGGCAAGGTCAAAAGTTTGTTGTCATCTAATACACTGTTCAAATTCTCTACCCACTCTGGATCGACATCCCCATCAAAGATGATCCACTGGCGTTTGTTGATTTCCCCTCGTACATTGTCTATAATCCTGTGTTAAAAATGCAAATTACAAAGTTTTTACATAGTTAGATTCAGCTAGGAAAAGATTACACAAAGATTATCATCTGTTTTGTCTGTGTTCATATAGGTGTTAAAATCTGTAAGTTAAATCAGGTGCACCACAAAGTTTGTTTAAATTTGAGACATCACTGTTATCATTATATATTATAGAAACCATTCACTACATTTAATTTGTGTAGTCATAACTACTAAATTTTAATAGCTAGTAGTCTGACTTTCATAAAAAAAATTACTTTTTTTATTATTAAAGCTGCTCTTCAAATATAAGTATGTTATCATTTGCTAAGGCTTTCTTTCCTATTTCCACCATTCATTTGAAACACAAGTTCAACTTTAAAAGAAGATACGGCAGAGATTGCTTGTATTTAAATGCAAAGTTACACAATGGGCTATCAGTGTCGTGCCCATCACGAATATCGAAACCCAGTTTTTAGCACTAAGTATGTAGACATACCACTGAGCCACTGGGGGGCTGTGAAGCAGAGAGAAAATTCTGTATAAAAAGTACACAAAGAATCATTCTTCAATATCAAATACAGCTTTATATATAAAAAGGGAAACAAAAGAAATAATTAAAGCAACAGAGTTAACATTCAGCTACTGTAAAAAGCATTATCGATGTTATTTGTTACAATTTAAAATGAGAAATGTACGTACTTTCTCAAGATGTGGGTGAAGAGACCATCCGTCCATTCACGTGTATTTGGGTCCAGTGTTCCATACAAAGCTTCTTTGGATATGGCCTATAGTAATACACACATACTTCTTATTACTAAAAACATTCTCAGCTATCTTAAGATTATGACAACTACAATAAAAAGTTAGAATTAATTTTAGTTATTTTCCTTGGGCTAGTAATCAGAACGGGGTAATGCCTATACAAAAGTTTCTGTTCTTACACAATTCCAAAAATAATTGAAAAAAACAAAAAACGTCTACAAATTTTTTAACTAATTTTGGTCATCACATTTTCTTATTAATACTTGAATGGTAAAATGAGTGTAATTATATACTTGATTCATTAACCAACATGATCGGTTAACCTTGCAAAATTATTCATTTCAATCAAATATTTAAGCCATACAGTATTATATTCAAAACTCAAGAGAAATTATATCTGTATCTTAGACACTATTTGTCATTAAGCACAAAACTACTTAATGGGCTATCTGTGCTTTGCCCATGGCAGGTTTCAAAACTCTGTTTTTAGCATTATAAGCCTTTATTATAGTTTGAATAGAATTAAGTAGTTGTGAGATGGTCAGGAGTTTTTGTGAACCACTCTAATAACATTAAGTATTTTCTTGAATGAGAAAAAAAACTGAGTACACTAGTCAAATGAAGGAGGTTCAATAGCTTTCAACAGAAGTAATTCTTTTATCTCGAACCCTTTCCAAACCAGGTGTTGTCAATGATGATATTTTTACTTTCATAGTAGAAATTCTTAAACAAACTGTGTGAAACTTACGGCCAACTTACAAAATATTATGTAGTTTCAGCTTGAAAAATTCACATAATTTGATTTAGTATTTCTACCATCTTTCATGTGTGAATTTTCCAAAATTTTGTTACGAGTCCAAGTTAGAAATAATTCACTTGGCCTTAGATTTTAGACATTTTTTTGAATGTTGATCAGAAAGTTCCATTTTATATATCCAGTAAGTTTCAATTTGATTAATATGCATTGACACCTTTATTTAGATACTTTATTTTGACAATTGCAGCAGTCTCCACTTTTGGCTATAAACTATGAAAAAAAAAGGCAAAAACTTAGAATATTATCGGTGAAAATCAGTTTATAAATAATAAATATAATTTCTTTTCAATAAATTATATTTTCCTATATTTATTTGCAATATGATAAACTTAACAATAACACTTAATTTACTTTAAAATAAAAACATTTTCAGGAATGACAATAATGCATAAAGAACCTGCAAATAATTATCCTGGGGTTTGTTCCCAAGCCTTCTAAACTTCTCACTACATTCTGTTGTTTTCTGTACAAGCTAAGACTTATTACTTTCCCATAAAAATATTGTTGCGTCAGCGAGGTCACGTGACTAGTGTCACACCACGTTTTCTAGAAATATCCTGTTCCTTCGTGAATGCCCTAGCATTTACTAGATTGGGGGTAGTCTGGTATATATAAGATAGTCACAACAGTGTAATGAGTAATTGAATGTATGCGGACAAAATATTGTTGGCCTCGTGAGACGTGAATTATAGTGTTGTTATAGAGCGACTGTTGAAGTTGAGTGTATCGTAAAGTTGTATTCGGAAAGAATAAACCAGTTTTATTAAGTAAGAACTTGTGTCGTTAAAGTTTCGTCGGAATGAAGTTACGGAAAATCAACTAACGAACGGAGACGTTACAATATACGTTGCTTCTCTCATCACTTTATTCATTCTACATAGTCCTAAATGGTTTATAATCTACTCTATCTAATAATAGTTAAACTTTGCTGTATGTATTTTAGAAGCAGGGTAACATTAGTATTTGTTACAATCCCACGCTGTGAAGTCATAATAGGTGTGGGAACAATAGGGCGTCCTGACAAAATCGGGGAAAGAGAAGGAAAAAAAAACATAAAACTTTGAGAATTCTCAAAGGATGATAGTTTAAGAAATATAAACCTATGTTGTAGGATGGGCAGAAAAGTTTTAAGACATTCAAACCATAACAGTTGTCATTCTTAAAAAAAGGCTTATATAAATAGTATTCTGACCAATGCCATATTTCTTGTAAGCCAGTCAACCTGATGAGCTTGGTTTGGGGCAAAACGTGTCGTTGGCAACAGATAAGACAGAAACAGTGTGGTTAAAATACTATTATACATTCATCCTATCAGAAAAACCCTGAGGGACTGAATAAAGAATGTAATGTTTATAAATACAATAAGCCTAATACTATTATATTATGACAAATTCTTGAATGTGTTGTTTACAGGCAAAACTCTTTGGATGTGTGCATAAATATCAAGTTTGATCATTACTTATTTTTCTTTGTAAATTATACTAAAAAAATGACAGAATAGCAATTTAAAAATATTTGTGAGTAAAAAACTGTTAAATAGTTAGAATAATTGGTTTCACTTATATTAAAAAAATTTATACACGAGTGTGCACTTAACATTCAAAAGGTGCTCGCTGGTTCATAAAAAATATACGCACAATAACATGACACTTTACCTTTGGATCAATCACATGGGCGACACCTTCAACACCTTCGTACCTATCAAGAGCTTTCAGAAGCACTTGCCATGCCATTGTTTTCCCACTGCCACTAGGTCCAACCATCATTAAGCCATGGTTTAGTTGGGAGATACGGAACAGCTGAAGAACCTGCAATACGGTAAACATAAATTTATCACTTGTGTTTGGTGTTAAGGGATGAAACAGAAATGAGTAACACCTTTTTGCTGCTCTAATAAAATAAAATAATTTTCCTGTAGATACAATTCATAATATATTTACATATTATAAATATCTAAGTAAAAATATATTCAACCCTTTAAAATGCAATTACCGTGACACAGCTCAATCAGCTACTCAGTTAACAATTCAGTTTTGCTTTTAATTTATTATAGTATCAAACTTAAAATTGTGTTTCAAGATTTAAAGATTCTTATTAAATTATCATTACTATTATTAAAATAGAAACATACCCAAATCTCATGACAAGTGTTACAATGAGTATTCAAATCTACACTCAAGTTTCTAACATATGATCATTGGATCTACTCTAAACACACTGGAAAATTTATAATGAATTCTAGAAGAAAAAAGTTGTTGAAAGTAATTGTTAAAAATTATTAATATTTATTTTTATTTTTGTACCTTTTTTTTATAATAAGCATAACTCTAAACAACTGTTTTGAACAGATTAATGCCAGTAACCAAAAGCTTCATATACGCTTTATATCATTTTTCTAGTTCTACAAATTTTATAGAAAATAAAAAAAATAACTGGACAACCAAATTTTTTTTTTTTCACAAATGTTTTCTAATTTTCTAACTATAATTGAAACACTGGTGGCAAAACCTGGGACAACACTTGAAATTACCAAAATATGTTTATGAACTGAACAATACAGAGGATTTGTTGATGAGAAAACTCTTTTCATTAAAACTAATTCAGTGTATTGTCTAATTGTACTATTTTCAAGTGATCAGTAAGATTTTAACAAGGATAAATGCTAAAAAAAAAAGACTATAAATGTCCTCCAATAATTACAGTGACGAGTCTACTTTCAAGTGCAAGCTAAAGCTCATATTACTTCTTTTTTATTTAATGACTATGTTTCATGTTTAACTTTTTTTCATAAACTTCTAAAGATCCCCAACCTTCTCCATCCAAGAACCTCCTTGTTCCTCTCCTTCGCCACATGCCAGGTACATTTCCTGTGACACTTGTATAATCTTTTCCCTCAGGCCTTTCATCTCGGCCCTAGTGTACTCAATGCCAGGAAACACATCGGACAACAAAGAAAACAGTAGTGGAATATCTTCAGCTACCAATTTGGGAACCATGGTCTCACACACACTCTGGATCAAAATCTGAAAACAAGCAAACAGAAATAAGATGAGGTAAAATAAAAACTATTCTTTTTACTAAGACTACTTTCCTCAGCTAAACAAACACAGACCTGAAACAACTAAAAATGGTTAGGAACAGTTTACAACTAAGTGCACTTTGAGTCTCAGACAATTTTTGTTTTATTTTAGCACCAATTTGTTTTTTGAACAGAAAACGGATGATTAATACATTGGAAAATAGGGTTTAAAACATACAGCTGTAATCTACAACAACAACAAAAAATACACATTGTACCTACCAGAAACAAAAATTAGCCCAGTGTGACGAAAATTATTTAAAAGACAACACTATCTTATATTTGAAAAAATTTTCCCTCTGGATTCTTTTATTTTTTTATTATTATCAGAAACTTACTATGGTTTTATTCTTGTTGTTCCAATACTTACATCTTGTTCTGGGAGTTTTTCTGCAATAGTTCCCTCATCATATTATCAGAAACTTACTATGGTTTTATTCTTGTTGTTCCAATACTTACATCTTGTTCTGGGAGTTTTTCTGCAATAGTTCCCTCATCAACTTCTTCTCCTCTCTCTTTCAAGTCGTCTATTACTCTTTGGATACGGTCTCTTTTTATGTTTCCAGCACTTACTAGAACATACTTCAGAGCTCTCAAGCCAAAGTCATAATGTGATTGATCTGACAACTGCTCATCACAAAGTCTGCAATACCAAACCACCATTTTAGAAGAACTATCATGACTATTAAAAGAAACTTCTGGTGGCCATAATTAGTATTTAATAATCAAGTAAAATATTTATGTTTACAACATTGTATCCAAAGAACAATTATCAATAATCACAAAATCCTACTTGCTAATACTTAAGGAAAGCTATCAGTACAATATCTTGTTTGAGTACGATTCTCCTTTAGGCTAAGATGGGTATAGTGTAATACTATCATTCTAATTAAAGTCCAGAGTAATGATACAATCCTACTTAAAATCCAAAAGGAACCCAAGAACAATGATATGACCTTACTTTAACAAGGCCCAGATAGATCCAGACACCAAAGCTATTGTCCTTCTTAAGGCCCAGAAGGATCCAGATAAAAATGTATTGATAAAAGTTGTGATCATAAATATTAAAGGCTCAGACAGATCCAAGTGGAAGTGCTATTATCCTAGTTTAATAAGTCTTAGAAGAATTCAGACAGGACGCTATGATCATATTTAAGGCCCAAAAGTATCCAAAAAGTATTAAATGAGGCTCAGTTATAGTTATTAGCCAGCTTATAAATAATATGTATACCTTAATTTGCCAAAACTATTTTCTCAACCAATGTTAACAACATAGATAATGAAACTAACCAGTTTTATAGTGTAAGAAGAAATGTGTGGTTTATTTCATAAAACTGCCATTAACCCCATCAAGATAATTCATAAATACTCTTTATAAACTACATACTGATTTATTCATTATTATCTAATTACACCTGATAATGTAATGTTAAACAGTTGAAAGATTACAGTAATCAGTTTCGTTCTTCGAGTTCATCACAGTTCTATATGTACGTACATATATATTTTTCTGATTACAGTAATCAGTTTACTTCTTCGAGTTCGTCACAGTTCTATATGTACGTACGTATATATTTTTCTAATATCCAATGTATTTTTGGTATTTGCTAAATTTATTCTAAATGAATAACGGAACACCTTCACTCTGACAGATTTGTCCACCTATACTATTAATATAAATATACCTGAAAAATGGCACAATCTTGCTAGCCAGTTTCTCTGCTGAACGAAAACCTTGAGAATACAACATCACTTGGGCAATCAACTGACGATCAGGCTTTGTCATGGCTAGGGAGCGGAATAGTTTTTTGAGATTATCAGGAAGATTTGATCGACCAGCATAACCAGGGTTCATAGTTATGAAGATAGCCATGTCTGAGTTCACTCGGACTTGTTTCCCAATAAGTTCCACTGTTAAACCTTTGTAAAATAAAAATGAAATTGTTAGATTTGGGGGGGGGGGGTAACAACATATATAAAGTTTTTCCATCTCATCAAAAAACCAAATAATAGAGATGTTTTCAAAACCTCTTCAAAAGATTTTTTACAAACCATCCAGAGTTAGTAGATACACGTTTACTAAATATTAGGCCATCATTCTGTTAGTAAGTACAAGCGTATTAAGCCATCATTCTGAGTACTGAAACACCTATAAATGGGTTTACATCTCGTTAACAAACTTCACTTGATGCTTTAAATTCTGTTTCTACGACCATTATCAGACTAACCATGAGGCCAGTCCTAGGAGAAGAATCAAAAGGTTGTCAAATAAAACAATGTTAGTGTAGTATTAATAATAGTCATGATTTCATAATAAAACCTATGTATAATAAAAAAATTGAGATTGATATAAAAACCTACTAGAATATTTATTTGCAAGAGACTGTTTCAAGTAATTTTTTTTCTTTGAGAGAAATAAAACAAGTAAAACATTCTTTGAATTAATTACATTTATGGAGATATATTACCACTTCTACTTTAATAACAGTTTTACAAATTACTTTTACACAAAAGTTTTAAAACAGAGAATGTATGATGTAATATACACCATGGTTCACAGCTAAATTAAATTTTCGTGTACTGGAAAACTATCGTGCAATACAAACATCGACAAAGACTGAATAATAAGAAACAATATAAACTGATTCTTTTCATTTGTTTTGTAAATAGTCATTTCATTTGTTCACATTTCACTAACAGAGGTTATTTTACAAACAACTCATTTTTAACCCATTAAAGATGGTTCTGGCTTGTTGTGATTTTCTACAGATTCACAGAATTACATTCAAAATTTATCAAACACATTTGTTATGAATATGTCAATAACATTAGCATCATAATGTAGTTAATAATTCAAGTTTTGTTTGGTTACACAAGTTGAAAATTCTTAATTTAAATATAAAATTTGAAGAAATTCCCAATCTTCACTTTTGTTATCACATGACATGAAAGCACTCTCAGTTCTTCCCTTTAATATGTGTAACTTCAAATACTAAAGTAACTACGCTGTCTAAGTTAAGTAGAAACAATCTATAAATAATTACAGGGTCTAAGGTACAGTTTCAATGTCCTAAGTTTTCCATTTAGTAAGATATCAATAAATTTGTCCAACCCAAAAAAGAAGCCCCACCCATCTATCCTTAACTTTCAAAGGAGTTTTAAAACCATGTGTTCTTATTTGACATACATTTATAACTAATAAAAACGGTTTATTTTTTATTTCAAGCTTGCATTGGTCCTTTTGAATTTGGCAGAAATATAAATTAGTCCGAGGAAGTGATTGATGTAAGTGAAGGTGATGTTCACAGCATTAATGATTTTTTAACCTGTTTATAGCTTAGTTAGATATTATTTATGTTTTAAAATGCATATCAAAAAGGTACAACAACAAGGTTTCAACAAAAATTTAGAGACAAAAAAAACAGGGTTAAGTAACTACAAGTGTACGAGTTCAGAACTTCACACTCGCATCCGTAAGTGTAAGGAAATCTGCTAATATGTTCACAATGTAATGTGTTGCTTTTCAGGGATGAATAAACTGTATGTCAAACAAGCCAGTCAATAATACTATAAAATAAACTATAAGTGAAAATGTAGACAGTTGAAGCTTTAAAGATATGGCAACAAGTAATTCATTCAAAGTAGAAAAAGTATTGTTTATTTTATTCTATAACTTTAAAAATTTCACATAACTCTACATCAATAATTTAGCTATAGTTAGTGTTAGGGTAGAGAAAAATAACAGTTAATATAAAAACTATTATCTTAAAAAAAAAACTTTGACATTTACATAGGAAGTTCTAAAAAGTTATGCAAATGAAACATGAAACTAAGATATACAAGTATTTTTATTCTTAGCATGAAAACCAACCTGAACTCAAGATTGATTTAGTAAAGACTTTGGAAATGCAGACAAATACTTTATTAAAAATTCCAATTTTTTGTGTACAACAGGCTTGTAATGTTTACTAAAAACTTGTCAAATTTTGTGAAGATAACACTTATTAATTCAGAGTTTTAATATGTAAGACGTTAGAATAATCAATTCATTAAGATGAGTTTAACATCCCAAAGATCACAACTTTTTAGGCATTATAGCATATTTTAGAGTAAACAGAATGAATTGAAAGTTGTACGTCACACATTTTGCACACAGTTCATACCTTCTTTGCTGTTCTGCTGGTTTCTCAAAGTCTCCTGTATCATCTGCACTTGCTGGGAGACAGCAGACAACATTCTTTCCTCCAATCTGTTGAACTCATCAAAACAACCCCAAGCACCAACTTGGCATAGCCCAACAAAGATACGTCCCATGGCCTACAAAACATGAAAAAATAATTAGTAAAATAACTGCTTAGATTAATAAACCTTCAAAAATATAACTTATTACTATATATATATATATGTATTGAACCTACCACACATACAGTATCTACAAAAGAAGAATTTGATTTTTACCTTGTTGTTTACTTGAGTAAAACTACCATATGGGAGATAAATCTTATATAAATCCCAGTGTATAGACCATCAAAAATGATGGGACAAGTACTACGACCCCATAGTTTACCCTAACCTTACATTTCATAGCTAGCTGAAATAAATAAATTTTGCAAAATCAAGCTTGACCAACAGAGGCAGAAAAGTGCATTCAAGACAGTCAAACATCGGTAAATTCCTTTGTGAGCCAATCAAAATTCAGATCATTCATGAAAGGAATTTGTAGTGTATTTATTGAATAATTATTGGTAAAAGTCAATTAGATTAACAACTTCTAATATGTTAAAAAGCCAGTGCATTTTGGTAACACTACGTTCCAACATTGGCTTTTATGTCATATCGCTTAGCAACAAAAGTATAACCTAATATTGTTGTTAGTCTATGTAGTGAAAGTATAAAATGATATGTATAGACAACAAAACTGGAAAAATATTTGTTGATTTCTTAATTTAGTCTCTGTTGAGTTAAGAGATATGTTTCTGATTAAAAATATTGGTGATATAACAAAAAATAGCTTAATTCAGAAACAATTTAAGATAAAAATTGAATCAATATTTTTACTTTCATGATAAATTTTATG